CACACACACACACACACACACGCTCATAATCAGGAGAGCTGAAAATTCATGCAAGTGAGAGTTGGATTTTTAGCCACAGTGACAAGTACACTAGTATTTTTGTATATCTTGTCAAATAAATACCAATCCTTAAGAGACAGAGATTTTCTTCTTCTTCTCAGAGTAGCTAATCCTGGCCATTGGTGGGTGGGTGTTGAAACCCTGAAATGTTAGAGAAGAAGGGGGGGAAAGTGCTTTCTCGTAACGGTAACAAAAACCTGGATGCCCTCTGAAGAAGCTACACATAGTCCTGCAGATGCTTGCAGATACACCTGCGGGTAGGCCGGCAAGCCCAAACCAGCTTTCTGATTGGACTCTATGTCATCGACATATATAGTCACAAAGCACGGTGTGAAATGTGCTTGGCCTGATTCTTAAAACGCTTGTCCTTGGGTGACATCATAGTCTTAAAATCAAGAGCAGCATCCTAAAACCCCAATCTTACCTGAATTGACCCTCACGTGTGTGCAGCCCCTGCCCTAAGGAAGCTAGAGGGTGGGGTTTGGGCAGTTGCTTGGTGAAAATAAACAATGTGGGCACACAAGCTGACCCCTTCCATGCCTAACAGGTTAGCTGTGGTCGGTGCTTGGCCTTACTCCCCGAAGCCAGGGAGACGATGCAGCACAGTCATTAAAGGCGCATGGATGCGTGCTATGCGGAGCCAACAAGTCAGACACAAAAGGACAAACATTATGTGGCCCAACTTAGATAGACTATCCAGCATAGGGACAGAGAAGCAAGAGTGCATTAGGACTCTCCAGGGACTAGAATGAGAAGGAAATGAATTATGATTTTAGGGGCACTAAAATTTAAATTAAGGTGATGAAAATGTTTGAAAGTAAATCCTGCTGATGGATCATACTATGGTGGGTGTCATTAGGTGTAATTAATGTGACTGATTTTCACACTTTGAAATGGTGACCGTGATAAATGTTTTGTCACATGTAAAGATGAGTCAAAGCCTACTGCTACTAGGATTTCAGTTCAGCCACACACGGGTTTACTCCAAACAAACCTCCGAGATCAGTGGATGGCTGCAGACAGTTCTCTCAGCGGAGCACTTATCTGAGCCTCCTTAGGTTTCCTCCTAAACAAGGCGGGATCCAAACCGACCCAAACAGGAGCGTTCAAGGGGTTTGCTGGGCCAGTTACACTCCACGCAGAGAAGGCTTGGGTGAGTGCCTTTTGGGGATTCCAATGTGGAATCGATAGAGTTTTTTCAAAGGACACAGGCGATCTCAGGGACTTGAGGTAAGATTTACAGAAAAATTGAAAGCTTCATGGGTGAGGAAAAAGGCCAGGGAAGTGGTGCCACAGAATTCTTTTTTATCACAGTGTACCTGCTCGTTCTTTGACAAGAGCTGTCCTATGCGAATTGCATTGGGAAACCTTAGCCCATCCACCCTGCGGGCCCGTCTTGTCCCTTCAGGCTTCTTTTGCTACTTAAAGAACGTTTAAAAGGAAGATGATATGCGTCCCTTGAGGACGTCCATCTACAAATGCATCATGGGGTAAACCGAAGAGGAGAGACCAAAGTGGGAGATACGTCAAAAAAAACACAAGTGCTTCATGTCTTTATGTTAGTGCAGTAAAGATTTTGATGGTTTTGTAGCAACAGGTTCTGACACTCCCACAGATACTTGTAGGTTACCATAACAAAGGTATTGTATGCAAAGCTCAGACATACCTAGATTTACCCCGACTTTCCAGCTGGGTGCCCCCGCTGGGAAGGCCATTAGCATTTCTGTGCTTCAGTTTTTCCACCTGTAAGAGGAGGGTGTTCATGAGCTCTAAATGAGCTGCTCCGTGTCAAGTGCCCAGCAAGTGTGCCAAGCACCAGTGATTCCAGCTCGGTCAGTGGGCAGCAGTTGTATTGCCACCTCCTTTCTCGGGTGAATGTCAGAGCTTCTCCCTCCACACAGGAGGCGTCGTCTGAGAAGAGACCCTTAAGAGACTATTGAAGGAAGAATGTGCTTTCGGAGGCTAATCACAAACAAGAAGTATTTGCCCTGGTGTTTGATTTAAAATGTTTAATTAATTAAAGCAAGATAAAAATGGCTCCACAGACAGGCGTCCCAGTAAGTGGACTGGATAGAAAACTGAAGAGACTGCAACATGGAAACGATCTTTCAAAGTCGCCGTAGACCCCTGGCCATGGCCATATTTCACCCTTTCGGCGCTAGCAGCCACCCCCGCCCCAGCCCAGCTCCAGAGCACCCACAGAGGCTTGGGTAAGGGAAGCTCTCATTTTCCACATGTTAGCTGAAGGCACATTGAGTGAAAGATCTGTCTCTTTGCTTGCAGGGTTGAAGAAAGTTTTAAAACCTTGTTCTGGTCCATATTTGGCTTGTCTGAAGTGATCTCGGTGGTGCTGAAGTACGACCACAAGTTTATCGAGAACATCGGCTACGTTCTCTACGGTGTTTACAACGTCACCATGGTGGTAGTGCTGCTCAATATGCTGATCGCCATGATCAACAACTCGTATCAGGAAATTGAGGTGAGACTCAGTTCGTTGAAAACGCTCTCTCTCCTTCGTAGTTTCATTTACAAGGCTGTTTTCAGCACAGCGGGTGCTGATGCTGGAAGCCAATGTATTATGAACTGTGAAGCTGTGTATGATGAAATGTGAGGCTGTGTATGATTAAATGCAGAGTCAGAACAACAGGCCTTCTTCCTGGACTGTTCCAAGAGATGTCTCCCAGCAATCTGCCACACGGCAGAGAAGGCACCGTCACATAAAATGGCCCAAGGACACACACACACAGACACACACACACACACACACACATCTTAGTTACCTAGTGTGGCCATAACAAAAGCATTCCACAAATACATGGCTTTACAGGGGAAAAAAAGGTACTTTTCACAGTTCTGGAGACTGAATGTCCAAAGCAGGGTCTCAGTCACATTGATTTCCCCTGTGGGGTTATTCTCCTAGGATCTAGTAGCTCTCACAACTTCAGTGTACCTGTGATGCTTCTAGATGCATCTGTATGGCATGATGTCTTTCCCATGTGTATATGTGTTTGTGCATGCACATGTGTATGTATATCTGTATCTATTTCATGTGTTTTATAAGAAAGTAATCAGAAATGACTAAGTGTAGGAACCACCCTATTTAGACATTGCCTCATTGATGTGTCAAAACAAAACAAAACAAACTATACTTCCAAACAGGGTTATTTTACAAGTACAGAGCTTAGGACTTGCAAGTTTCTTTTGAGACACAATTCAATCCATAATATATATATGAACATCAGAAATCTTGTGGGAAAATGGAGTGAAAAGACAGTAGAATTTTCCATGAACTTTTTAAAGCCTGCACGCATGTGCGTGTGTGTGTGTGCGTGCGAGACAACTGGGATCAAGAATCTTTTCTCTTTCACATATGTCCTCTCAGGGTTTAATGTAGGTAGCCCACGGTATATCAAAATTATTATCTTTTAGTCCATATCCCTTTCTATTTCTCCCATATTATGCACTAAGCACCTTCTGGCCACCAAGCCTTGCAGTGCACTGGCAATCCAGTTGGCTAAGACACGGTGCCTGCCCTTGAAGAAATCAAGGTCTAATGCAAAAAAACAAAAACAAAAACAAAACCCAGATAGCTACATGAATAAACTACCATGCCCTGGGGTCATTGCAAACACAGAAGGCCTATCATTTTCAGGAGGTACAAAGCAGAAAGAGTAATTGAGCATATGGGAGAAGGAAAGAGGCTCAGTTTGAAGAACAAGTGGGGAAAATTAACAGCGCAAAATCGTGTGGAGCAGCATCAAGAGAAATAATATACACATAATAGGAATTCCAGACAAAGAGAGGAAACAAAGTCTCAAAGATATTTTTTGAGAAAGTAATGGCAGAAAACTTCCAAAATATGGAAGATTTTATTATCATCCAAAATGCTCAATCAACTCCATATAGGTTAAAACCTAATAATATCATAACTGAACTTTCCAGATACAATGATAAAGAAATAATTTTGACAGCAGCCTGAGATAAGGGAAATGCCACAAAGGAGCCTCAATAAGATTGAATGCTGATTTCTCACCAGAAACTATGCATGAAAGAAAGCAGTAAGGTGGTATACACAAAGCCTTGAAAGAAAAGGACTGTCAACCAGAAATAACATACCCAGAAAAATTGCCATTCAAAAATGAGTATATTCTCAGAAAACAGAAATTAAGGGAATTTGTAATCACCAGAACAGCCCTGCAATAAACGTGAAAGGCAGTTCTCTGGGAAGAAAACCACTGACGCTGCCAGCTCAGCGATCCAGAGCTGACACTGAGCAGCCGCTGGACTAAGACCATGCAGTACATTTACAATGAGGTGACGGACTATCTGGGCTACAGATCGTGATTGGCAGTAACATAAAATAAAAAGGAGTGGTTGGTATTGACAGAGACTTGTCATATGTTAAAGAGAGGGATCTAAGTGATTCAGTCATTTAAAAATTAAAAAATAATAAGGGGAAAAGTCTATTCTTAAAAAGAATTCCGCATGTAAGACAGAGGACAAAGAAGCCATCAACCTCAACAAGAAATGATGATAGATAGATAGATAGATAGATAGATAGATAGATAGATAGATAGATAGAAAGATAGTTAGATATAGATATATAACAAACTGTTTGAAGTAAATTCTTTTCTGTTGATAATTAATTGCAGTGAATATAAATGGATTAAATATTCCAGTCAAGAAACAGAGTGGTAGACTGTACTAAAAACATGACACCTCCATAGGTTGTCTACAAGAAACACAGCTTAGGCATAAATGTGTAAATGGATTAAAAGTATTGGGGTTGGGGGAGCATGGCATACCAAGTAAGCTGTAATACAAAGAGAGCAGAAGTGACAATGCTAATGTCTGACAATAAATGTTAAGTCAAAATTTACTCTGTGACAGAGGAGAACACTAGATGCACCACTTTTTGATGATAGATGGAATAATTTTAAAAGTGAATAAAGAAACATAACACCTGAATAATATAAACCGTTCCAGCCTAACAGACAGAGTACACTGCTCAGCAGTGGCATGGTACACATTCTACTTCGTTGTACATATGTCTAGCATAGACTATTTTAAGGTAAGTTTCAATAAGTTTCAAAAGATTGCAACCATAAAAAGCATCTAATCGCACCATAACTGAATGAAGCTACAAATCAGTAACAAGAAGAATAAGGAAAACTAAATAGATTTATGGAAACTCAATAGCATTATTAAAATTCAAATCCATTGGGCTATAGAAAAAAATCAAAAGTAAAATTTTAAAGATACTTAGATTCTTAAGATACAGTTGATGAAGTAAAAATGATTAATTTTATGGAGTCTTGATCTGCAAGTACACATTTTTTAAGTAGCCTATGTGACAAAATGGGAGGGACAATTAACGTGCTTTGCTGAAAACCCAAATAGGATAGTGTAATTGCAGAAAGGCACTTGTGGGGTTGTGAATTGACCTACCAACTCTTTTCACAGACCTTAGAAACACTTAGTGACAGACAGGCGATGGCCATTTCAACTTGAGCCTTCGGCAGCCATTTTCTCAAATGAATGGTGCCGGTCACTTCAAATGGGAGCTCTGGTGGTGTAGTGGTTACACTGATCTGCGATACACGAGGTCAGCAGTTCTAGATCACTAGAGGCTTTCGACTCCTGTAAACAGTGACAGTCTTGGGAACCCACAGAGGAGCTCTACTACACGTCTGCTAGCAGTCAGAATTGACTTGAGGACAGTTGGTTTGGTTTCCTTTTTCTTACCATTTCCAATAACCATCTGGCAGTGTTCGTTGGCATGAAAAATGCAGGTTATTGTGCAGAAATTAGTACTATAGAGGGCATTTTCCTTCCAGCAGCTTCTCTTCAGATGAGATAGGTGGTAACATTAACACGTGAACTTTTTGATACCATGTGATGTCATATGCCAACATTTGGAAGTAATACATTACTTGGTGAACCAACATCTTCCAAAATATTACCAATTACTAGATTCATGATGGCGGTCTAACCTCAGCCACCCTTGGGTGGGCTTGACCTCTCTGGGGTCTACTACAAGGAAACAGTCAACTACTATCCTTATCAGAAGGGAGTGGGCCCTCCTTGTTGTGGGATAAACAGTGGTGACTGCTTGCTCTAGATGGCAGATAACCCTTAGAGAGAATAACCCCTGATCTACTCCTGATGACCTCCAAGTGTATAGTCATTCGCAAGCAGCTAAGTTTGACATATATTTGGGGGAGATAACTTGGGAGAAATCCTTCTGTTTCCCATAACCCAATAAAATGATAAATAATTAAATATGAATACAACTTAGCTAGAGACAGATAAGAAGGTCAAACATGTACATCAAAATCTAAAACACACAAGCCACAAACTGGCTTACAAATCATATGAAAAATAGCAAGAGATTAAAAACTAAATATGCATCAATAGAAATCTAGTTAAATATATGATGATGCATCTGAACAATGGGATCTTTTGTTACTGTTTAAGGACAAAAAAAATAAGAGTATCTTCGATATACTGTTGTGAAAAGACCTCAAGTGTTAGTGAAGAAAACTCCAATTTTAGAGCAATGGATATTGCTATCCAGTCAATGCAATGCACGGTGGCCCTTTAGGACTGAGTAGACGTGCCCAAGGCGGCCAGTCTTCACAGAAGCAGATTGCAACGTCTTTCTGATGGGTTCAAACCAGCGATCTTCACCACTCCCCCAGCAGGGCTTCTCGGAACAATATGACTGTAGTGCTCTCTGTTTGATGCAAAGGGGAGGGGAAATGGATCTATATCCATATTGTGTGTAAGCACTTTTTTTTAAGTACTGCAAGAGTAGATAAATTCTCAACAATGGAACCTGTTGAGAGGTCGGGGTTGGGGAAGGAGGGGGAATGCCTTTGTATACCTTTTTAGGCTATATAAGTCATGCAAATGTTTTACTATTATAAAGTGGAACAAATCAATTCAAAACCAAAGCTAAATAAAAGACATGAGCCTTTTGGCCCAACTCCCAATTCTAGGAATAGATTCATGCATTACTATGATTTTCCAGAGCTGTCCATTAAAGAGGGGGTGGGGGGAGGAAGCAGCCTGCCAGTGCCGGATAAACTATGACATAGTCACACATTAGAATACCATACAGCTGCTAAGAACATCGAGAAAGACCTTTTTGTGCCGGCATGGAGAAATCTCTAAAATAGTGTTAAGTGAAAAACTGTAAGTGGTAGGAAAGTGCATGTGGGAGAATACAAAAACCAGAGGAAAAGGTCAAGAAGGGGAACTAGAAGGATGCTCCCAAACTCTTCACGTGAGCATCCTCTGGAGGGGAGGGAGAAGACTGGAAGGGGGTTCACATTTGCTTGGTAAACTTCTGTATTCAAATAGTTTCTAAGAAAGAGTTGTCTGTCTATTTTTCATATAGAAAAAGATAGACACACACATTTAAAAAACTTCCCAGGCAGTGGAAGCAGCATATGCCAAGACAGAGAGGTGTGAAGC